ATTTTTTATTAAGATAATTGATTCAAAATCGAAATTGAAACAAATTTTATTTAAAACATTTTTTGATAAAAACAATAATTATTGAGATAATTACTTTTGATAGCATACTATTCAGAGGGAAATTAAAATTTTAAGTTACCAAAAAATTTTATTAACGAACACTATTCCAAAAGTAATTCTAAACAAATACTGTTAATAAAAATTTTTGATTTAATCAGTAATTAAGAACATAACCTCAAAAAAATGTTTATATATATATTTTTATATATTTTTTATTGAAAAAATTGTTTTAGAATTTAATTTAGAACAACTTTTGTATGAAATTTTCTGCTAAGAACGAGTGGAGGGGGGAAATCGTGTCGTTTTGTTACAAAAGTTCCGTGCCCTATTGATGAGTAGTTGAATTAATTAGAATTAATTAATTGCCTTGTTTTCGACGTTCACAAAGACAATATCACATTCATTTTCGTTAATATACACCTGACTAAGTTTTAACAAGGTCTTTACTCCCAATTTAAAGGGGCGAATAAATATTCCTGTATACAGTTGGTTGGATAGTACCTATAAGTGATGTTGACGCTTTTACTAAGGGGCAATTCGAAGAATATCATGAATATTAATAACACGTATGGCAAATAATAATAATGTACCCTTTTAAGGGACATTGACCTAAAATGTAACTAAGTGCCATTTTAAGACGTTTGAATTAATCTACTTCATTTAGTGCGTCATAAATTTATTTAAGATTATAAGATCTGACGTATTTTGATTTGAAATAAGATTACACAAAAAACTTCTAAAATTGCCGTCTAGATGCAAAAATTACCAACCCAATCAAGTACGAATTGGTGCTTCCTTTTCTGGGACGTCAAATTAATGTTATTTATAGGTACATATCACACCCTCCGATCTAAAGATATACAGAAAATGTCTAATAAGAGAACCGAAAGAATATTGAAGTTCATATACGATATATCGGCTCTCATTAGTACAATTGGAAGTTTGTTCCTTTTGGAAATCCAAACCGATCCTTTCCATTTTCTTCGTTTCTTTCATCTTGATTTCTTTCCCTCCGGAAAAATAAAAGATGAGGCGCGAAACCGACAAGGGACTAAATAAGCTACCGTAACATAATTCTGGCAAGTTATCAACAAGAACTACGTGACGAGAATTTCATTCATTTTCGTTTTTGCTTCACTTCAATTATCAAAAATAGATTTGATTCTTTCGCGAAACGAAAACAAGGTTAAAAACAACGAGATATGCAATAGTTGAGATGCTTTGATGTCGAGTAAATTTGAAATGTTTTGTTTCTACGTTCAAAAGTGGGAATTTGAAATAGTTATTGTACCTTAAACAACATCGTTACATTTCTAGTTCAATATCATTCTTTTTATTTTTTTATCATCATGTCCTTCGTTAAATTTGCTGTCATTGACATTCGTGGTTCATTATTCTGAAATGGAATGCAAGTGATGAAGTTGATTGTGCGAAGATATTGGTTCGGCATAAAATATGGATTATAATTGAAAACCCTTTGGGTTAACACACAAAAAATCGGACTTAATTGGCATTATTTAATAGGGTTGGTAATTAAACGGTTAGGATTAAATATTTTTTGCTAACTTAAAGCGTTTGTAATTAGCGATAGTAGTTTAGCTGTTACCCATTGTTTTGTAGTTAACGATTTCAGCAAGTTAACGTCAAACGGGAGTACTGCAATCCACTATAATTGAATTTGTCTTCATTTCTACTCTTGACTCAACATCCAATATTCTCGCATTGTTGGTTTTCGTAAAGGTAAGGAATTACGTGTGACCCATATACGTTAATAGTTTACTGGATTTAATAAAGAAAGTTTTTTTGAGTTGATTGTAATTTGGCTTTTTAAACGAAGCTTTATAATTACATCTTTTTAGCTGATTTTTGTTACTTTTCACGATGCGCTCTCAATTTATTTGGCACCAGTTTTGAAACAACCACATATTTTCCCTATCGATTTTTTAACGCTCCCATTGATCATCATTTTCAGTTTCAGACATTAACGTTGCAACTAATGCTCGATTTACGCGCTCAACTTGTCCATTCGCTCGCAGCCATTGGTATAGTTTGATAAATATCGCTTTCCGCTACAAACCTTTTAAATCGTTCCAATGTAATACTAACTATTCTCGAACAGTTTAAAAAATGTACTAAATGAAGTGAGTTTAATAATAAAAAATGTTTTGATTAGAAATGGTCAAAATGTTTATTTTAAGTTTCATGTAAGGGTGGCAAAAAACCACCCACACCTGTGAGTTAATAAAAAAATGACATGCTGAAATTGATTTTAACCAATTACAAGAATCTGTATCTCTATTGTATCATGTTTCATCCGATGGCATTCGACCATCGCAATCAAGAATCACAGCCATAACACATTTTCCAAAGCCAACGACTCCAAAAGAGTTACAAAGATTTTTGGGAATGTTAAACTTCTACCATAGATTCTTACCTAACATTTCAAATATTCTTGATCCCTTATACACACTTTCAAAATTACATTTACACTACAATTTCATCAACTTCTTGGACTCTGCAACACGACAACGCTTTTTCTTTAGCCAAAAATCTTCTATCAAAATCTATCTCTCTAGGACATCCTTCTTCACATGCTATCCTATCATTGTCAACTGATGCATCTAACACAGGTATGGGAGCTGTTCTAACGCAAACCGTCAATGGAAGGTCTCAACCATTAGCGTTCTTTTCCAAAAAATTTAATTCATGCCAAACCAAATATTCCACTTTTGATAGAGAACTTTTAGCGATCTACTCTGCTATCAAATTTTTCAAACATTCGTTACATGGAAATAAATTTACAGTATATACAGATCACAAACCCATTGTCGCATCAATTTTTTCGTCC